GTGATCTGATCGGTGCACCTGCAGCTCAGTGGTGCTCAGCAGGAAGTCCGCCCACGTGCTTTATGCAAAGTTGTCTTATCTAGGAGATGCTAGAGGAGAGCCTGGTCTCCGATGGGGACACAGCTTATGCATGAGACACTCTCTCCCTGAGCCAAGGCCCCTACTTCCCTACAGGATCTTGGGTTTCCAGGTTTAAAGACTCCAACTCCATCTGGAACTCTGGAAAAGTCAAAATCTGCATTGAACTAAGAGCAGAGCTATAGGGGGAGGCCATGGAGGGGGCGCTTGAGCTGGGGCCTCTGCTGAGTTAGGAGCTTGGAGCTGCAGAGGCAGCTGGGACTGGGGGCAGAGTTCTGTACTGGGTGAGCAGTGTCCCCATGAACAGCTCCCAGAGGCAGGTGCATGGTATGATGTGCACGAACTTGGGAATGTCCTCCCAGGGGCTATGAGAGAGCACACCCCTCGGGGCAGGGGCAGAACTATTAGTGCCCTCCTCCCTGTGGCAGGGGAGCCTGCCTTGGGTGCTGCACTAGTGCCACATGCTGAGTGGCTTAAAGGACAGCCATTTACTATTGCACAGCTGTGGGGACCACAGCCAGAGATGAAGGTGGTGGCCGGGAAAGTTCCGTGTCAAGCCTCTCTCCTTGGCTTGCAGATGGCTGCCTTCTCCTTGTGTCTCTCTGCTTTGCTCTCCTTCTATGAATATCTCTGCCCAAATTTCCCCTTTTGATAGGGACGCTAGTCATACTGGATTAAGGGCCCACCCTATACCAGTGCGACTGCATCCTCACTTAACTGATTAATCTGCAATGACCCCGTGTCCAAGTAAGATCTTATTCTAAGGTGTCAGGGGTTACAGCTTCAACATGTGAATTGGGGTGGTGGGGGACACAATTCATCCCCTAATAAGTGGGCATTCATCAGCCAGGCAGCTGTTTGTCCACTTGTTCTCTTGGAAAGGCGGGGGTGGGCGGGCTGGTGGTGAAGAGCTGGGCTCTGAATGTGACCAGCTCTGCACTTTGCAGGCAGCTGTGGGTAACTCCCTGAACACGTGTGATTCCTCCTCTCCAGGCTGGCGATGACCAGAGTGCCTGCCCACAGGCGCTCAGAGAAAATGCTCAGCAAGCCCTGGGCTGTGTGCCTGCTGCACTCTCGGCTCCCCATAAATGGCAGCTTTATTCAGCAGATGCCCCTTAGCCATCTGCTGTGTGCCAGCTAGGGTGCCATTTAGAGGGAGCCGTGGAGGATGTTTAGGAACCTCTCAGAGCAGGGGACAGCATCTGCTCACAGGGGCCCTGGGTGGGTGGGGCACAGGCGTGCTTCCCCTGGGGGATGCTCAGATGAGGTCTTGGATCTGTGCAGCGGGGAGCCCTGGTGGAGCAGACGGCAAAACTCCAGAGCTCTCTTCCCGTCTCTTTGCTGGCAGGAAAACTCGGTGATCAGTACTGCTGCTGCTGCCTGCCTCTCACTTCTTGCCTTGCTCATCAAATATTTGTCTATAGTTCTCTTCCTACCTTACCTCTCGGCCACCTCCTCTTGCTCATCTTTTGGGACTCAATGCTGGTGCCACCTGTTCCAGGAGGCCTGCCTCTGGTGGCAGAGCTGGGCTAGGGCAGAGCTGGGCTAGCGTTCTGGCACTCTCCTGGTTAGGATGATCCACAGGTGTCCCAAGGCAGGAAAGCTGGCCTCATTTTGTTCTTTCTCCCTCAGGTGTTGTTTTGCTCCTGGCACCTGGAGGGTGCTCAGCAAACGTGCTGGTGTCTGTGTCAGCCCGGAGCACTCCTGCCCACCCCTCCCCAGCTCCGCTCCAGCTCACCTGGCAAAAGGGCACAAGGGCTCCATTGTGAGCCAGAGTGGGCAGAAATGGGGGTGATGTTCTGAAGGGTGGGCGGGGGCTGGAGCCCAGACAGATGGAACCCAGACAAAGCCCTCTTTAAGCAGGGATCATGGCAGCTGTGCTGTTGATGTCCTGATGCAGGAGCCCAGATATCAAAGGAAATAAATGCCCAGGGTGTCTTGAACTTGGCAGTGTCTGGAGGTTGAGTGAAGGTCTCGGGTGAGGAATATGGATTGGTGCCCCTCAGGCCACTGGCCCTGCCCATGGGAACAATGGCATTGAGGCGAGAACAGTGCAGCCAGTCAGGTTCCTGTTGTATCCCATGGGGACCCTTGCAGGGGAATTCAGAGGCAGGTTTTATCTTCAGCTGGGCCTGAAACTAGAGCAGGGTTCATGGGGCATGGGACAGGGACCAGATCCTGGAAGAGGCTTAGAGGGCATCAGGAGGTGGCCAGTGGCTGGGACAGGTGATCCTCGTAGCTGTGCAGGCCCAGACTCCCCACACTTGACTCTCTGTGGCCACTCAGCCTTTGCCCAGCTGGGAGGGGTCCTGAGCCAGGCCAGTTTACTTCCTTGGGCAGTGTCTCAGCACTCGGGGGCAAATCAGGTCAGGCCAGCGTGTACAGTGGGTACTGGGGCCTCACTAAGACCATGGTAACTACTGAGAGACAGGGGAAGAACCCCCTATTCCACTCTTCAAGGCCCCTATGAGGGCAGGGGAGGGGGAGTGGTTTAAGAGGGTGGGCAGGGTGTAAGCCTGGGATCCTGGCTCTGCCATGTCCTAGCAATGTGACTTTGTACTTTGATTTCCCCATCTGAGAATAATAATTTCCCCAGATCATTGCAGTTCAAGGGCTCAGGAGGTGAGCTACTGTTGTTATTCTTGGAGAGGAGGGGCTAGAAGTGAAGGCTGCCCACATCCTCCTTCCCTGCCTGCTTCCCTCCCACTAGAAGAGGAAGGGGCTGGTGATGTGCCCATGGTGGCTGAAGCCACCATCTGACACACTACCCCACACCCACAGCCTGGGGAGCAGCTTCCCCTCATTAGGAGGGAGCCCTACGGTGGCTGTTTTCCCCTGGGTGTCTGGAGTGAGCCAGGACCCTAGGGAGCCCAGGCACTCCTGGGCACAGAGCAGCACTTAGAGGTGCCAGCCCCCTCTCAAGGGGCTCCTGCCTGGTGCAGCAAGAGGGATGGGGACCCACTCTGATGGCTCTGGTCCAAAGGGCCTCATGCAGGTGCAGGGCCCATGGCATCCTGGTGAACTTCACGGGAGGGTCTGGTTGCTGCGCTCGATTTGATGGCAGAGTCATGAGTGCCAGGACAGGTGGCTTCCCATCCTCTGCCTCTTAACCTCCTGAACCAAGTTATACACTCAGTATGTGCCCAGCCTCATGACCGAGCACAGTACACATTGTCTCATGGGGTCTTCTGAGTAGACTGAGCTGCTGCTCCATTGCACAGAGGAGGAGAATGAGGTTTGGGCAGGTTAGGGCACTTGCGCCAGACACCTTCACCAAGAAGAGGCAGTGCAGGGATTCAGTGCCTGCCCGAGTCCCCTCTGCTGCCCTGCCCCCTCATCCTAAGTCCTTCAAATGCAAGCCTTCCTTTGTGTCTCTGGTTGTCTTCCTCATTTCTACAAGTCTGTGCTGACTCCATCCCCACCCCTACCCTAGACCAGGACCCCCAGCAAGGACCTACCGCCTTCCTGTGCATCTCTACATGGAGCCCAGGTGAAGCTCAGAGCACTGAGGATACCAGGGCGAGGGAGGGTAGAGTGGAGTGGACCCAGAGAAAAACATTTCCCAGAACACTTCCCTCCCGCATGGAGCAAAAGAAGAAGCTGGTCAGACCCCTTCTGTGTCTCAACATGCACATGTGTGTGCACATGTGCACACACACACACACACACACACAGTGAGCACAGCTGTGCAACCTATGGAGAGAAGAGCCCCAGCCAGGACTGGCCCATCGATGCCCCATCCCAGCTGCTAGCCCAGGGCCCCTCAGCTCCCCTTGCCACCTCCAGCTCAGACTCAAGGCTGCAGAGGGCCGCCAGCAGGGCAGGAGGCTCCTGGAGCCCCATGGTGGTTTCCACCCAGGTTCCTCCCCTTGCTGACACTGGATCTAGGGCAGGCTACTGTCCCATCTGCAAAAGGAAAGTAACACCCTTGGCCTTGCTGCGTGGCACTGTGGAAGGATTAAAGGGGACTGTGTATGTGAGTTCTTGAAACAGGTGCTGACATAAAGCAAACTCTCCGTTAATGCTGCTGCTTCCCCTCTGGTAGAGGCGCTTGGGTCACAGTGCTGCAGTTGGGGGCGGGGCCCAGATCTGGGGCTTTGGGCCCGCCTGACTATCCCTGTAGGGACAGTTGTGTGTTGTCAGGGAGGCTTCCCCTTTGGGCATCCAGGCCAGGCGTCCATACCTGATGCCTGGAACACTGAGGAGGGACAGGTGTGGGCCCAGGGCTCTGGCATCTGGTCCTTCCCATCCCTTGCCCACATCCTGAGGTGGGAGGGGTAAGGTCAGAGTCCAGATGGGCTTTGTTAACCCCGGAGGGTTGACCACACATGGCCCTAGGGATCCCAGGTAACTTTTCTCGGGGATCTTTGCAGATGGTAGTTCTCATGGACCCAATGGAGGACCCAGACGACATCCTGCGGGCACATCGCTCCCGGGAGAAGTCCTATCTGTTTGATGTGGCCTTTGACTTCACTGCCACCCAGGTGAGGGAGGGCTGGGGTGTACAGCTGGCCTCCTGCATGGACACACTTGGGTTGGCACTGAGACACCACCCCGTGTGGCACCATGGTTGGCCCCTATTGGATGAGCTGGATCAAGGAGCCTGGGGCCCATCTGGCACAGGGAGGGCAGATGGAGGATAACTGCAGGGAAGCTGACACCCCCCAGGGACCCCGTCTTGCCCATCTGTGTACACTTCTAGGAACAGACGTGATGCATCCTCAGGGCAGGGGGCCAGGATCCAGCCATGGGGGAAGGCATCTCAGGTGTCTTGGGCTCTCTTCCAGGGTGCCATCCCCCCACTGTGGGGTGTAAGTGGAGACATCCCCTCCCCCACTCCCTACCCCCACTTCTCTTAGGCTCCAGGGACAAAAACTCCTATGGGGGAATAGGAACTGCCAGTAAGTATCTGTGCTCTGCTCCACCCATGTCCTGGGCCCCCGACAGCTCTCCTCTTCTCTGCAGGAGATGGTGTATCAGGCCACCACAAAAAGCCTTATCGAAGGTGTCATCTCAGGCTACAATGCCACTGTCTTTGCCTATGGCCCCACAGGTGAGGGGAAACCCAGACCATGGGTGAGGACTGTAACACCCCTCCTGTCCCCTCAAGGGCCAAGCCCCAGGCCCTCCATCAGAGAATTGGTCTGGCTCCATCCAGGGCCCTCCAGCCCCAAAGACCCCATACACAGCCAGTGCTGCCCTGCTCCCCACTCCCATCACTGCCTGGCCATCTGGGAGGACCAGCCTTGGGAACAGACCCAGGTCTGCCAGGAGTACCTGCCCAGTAAGCCCTCACTTCTGGCTCCCACGCTGCTCACCCATGACCTTGTTCTGCCCTAGGCTGTGGGAAAACCTACACCATGCTGGGCACAGACCATGAGCCCGGCATCTATGTTCGCACCCTCAATGACCTTTTCCGTGCCATTGAGGAGACCAGCAATGACATGGAGTATGAGGTGTCCATGTCCTATCTGGAGGTAAGCCCCCACCCAGGCTCAGCCAAGAGGCCCACTGGGCGGGGCTGGGATGCTTAGCACTGCTGCTGTCCCACACACATATTATAAACCCCACTTAACAAAAGTCTCAGGCTCATCAGAGAGGCCAGGCAACTAGTCTGTGTCACACAGTAAGTGAGAGAGCAAATACTCAGACTCACAGCCACACTCTGCCCAGTGTGCCATGATCCAGAGCAGCCTTGCCAGGATGCACAGGACTCAGCCACCCTCCCAGATGGCTCACCACCTTGCCCATTCCTTGAAGCAGACCCAGTCTGCCCTGCCAGGCTCCCTTCAGGAACTCTGCGATGTGGGCACAGGTGAAAACTGTTCACATGTATACAGGCTGGACACTTTGGCTTCCCCACCCAGCCACAGCCTCCAGGTGCCCACCTGGCAGGGTGTGGGGAGCACGACAGAGGCCAGAAGAGGTGGGAGAGCTGCAGGCTGGACCCCATCTCCTGAAGGAACTGATAATCTCCTGGGCCACAGTGCAGAAAGGCAGCCAGGCGGAGCTGCCAGCAGCAGCCCTGCTGGCCTGGTGTTGGCTCAGCCAGCAAGACTCACTTTGTATGAGGAGCACCCCTGAAAGTAGCATGAGGGTTGCCTAGTAATAAATAGGGCCCTCTCCCGGCAGGGGAAGGGGGTTCTGGCATCAGTCTGGTCCCCAGCTCTGGCCAGTGCCCAGCCTGTCCACACAGGGAGTCCTGCTTGGTTCAGAAGCCTCCTGTAACCCTGGCTCTGACAGCTCGATATTCCCCATAGATGTTGGAGCCCATCCCTGGCCTCATAGGCAGGCAGGTGCCTTTTTTCAAGAGGAACCTGGGGCTCAGAAGGTGCAAACTGTGGTCCTCTTCATGCGTGGGAGGGAGGGAACCTGGCCCTGGCCTGGACCTGCCCTCACTGGTCCCATCAGATCTACAACGAGATGATCCGGGACCTGCTGAACCCTGCCCTGGGGTACCTGGAGCTGAGGGAGGATGCCAAAGGGGTGATCCAGGTGGCCGGAATCACCGAGGTCTCCACCATCAATGCTAAAGAGGTAAGTTCTGTGCCTCCAGGCAGGCCATGGAGGGGCTGAGCCTGGAGCCAGAGAGCTGCTGCCTACTAGGCTGAGGCTGGGGCTGGGGCAGAGAATCCTGCGTAGTGGTACCTGCCACCATGCTGACCCTGGGAGAGTGACCAGGCAGCACATCCCCTCTGTTTACACAGACACCTGACCTCAGACTGCTGAGGCCACTCCCCAGACCCCTCAGCCTATAGAGCCCACCACCACCTGCCCTTTCAGGCAGGGCCCTCCCTGCCTATCCCTGGGGGTTCCTTCTTTCTGTCGAGGCATCTCTATGGGTTCTCAGGAGCTGCCTCTCCTCCCTCCCGCCCAGATCATGCAGCTGCTGATGAAGGGAAACCGGCAGAGGACCCAGGAGCCCACAGCTGCCAACCAGACGTCCTCACGCTCCCACGCAGTGCTGCAGGTGGCCGTTCGCCAGCGCAGCCGGGTCAAAGACGTCCTGCAGGAGGTGCGGCAGGGCCGCCTGTTCATGATAGACCTGGCCGGCTCCGAGCGTGCCTCCCAGGTGAGGCTGGGTCCTGGGGGGTGGAGGACAGAGGGCAGGAACAATGCCCTCCCTCGACAATCACATCAGTCAAGGAGCAGAGAAGGTCCCTGTCATCCTTTTCTGGCAACTCTTTGTCCTCCACTCCTAGCATCCCCCCAACTTGCCCAGCAGTACCACCCAGCAGGTGTGGGCTCAGGCTCCCTCCTGCCGGCAGACCTGGCAGTTTTATGGTCATGTGAGCAAGGAGGCTGGGTGATGTCACTGTGGTTAGCACAAATGCAAGGCAAAGGACAGCACCAGAGAGAATTAACAACCTTTCGTGTTTGAACTTGTGAAGCTGGGCTGGAACAGAGCAGAGTCCATGAAACTTATCCTTCTCTTCCAGGAAAGCCCAGAGGGCTTCCTGAAAGGGGCACTGGGGGAGTGGCCTGGGAGGAGAGAGGGCGTGCCCTCCAGCTACTGGAGCCAGCTGGCCTCAGCATTGCCAGCCTGGGCAGAGTGGACCACAACCTCTCTCCAGTGTCATTCCCAGTGCTTCGAAATAGGCCATGCTGTGGTGCCTGCTGTGGGGGACAGACATCAGCCCTCCGTGATGCTGGAGGGGGCAGGACAAGGCCCTCTTGCAAGTCCTTGCTACACTTCAGGGTCCCGAGGGAGAGGAAGGAGTTTCTAGCCCAGGATCACCAGGGCGTTTGGGGCGGGGGCAAGAGAGCGGCTGGGGCAAAACTCAGACTCTTGTACTCTAGAGCCATAGTTATGCCCTCTACTCGCCTCCCAGACACAGAACCGTGGGCAGCGCATGAAGGAGGGAGCCCACATCAACCGTTCCCTGCTAGCCCTGGGCAACTGCATCAATGCGCTCAGCGACAAGGCCAGCAACAAATATGTCAACTACCGAGACAGCAAGCTCACTCGGCTCCTGAAGGTACCAGCTGCAGCAGGGGCCAGAGGCTGAGTTCCAGGGGTGGGCTGCCAGACTCAACAGGTAAAAAGACAGACACCCAGCTAAGTCTAAATGCCAAATACACAACAAAATTCATTTTAGTATAAGTATGTCCCGTGTAATATTTAGGATATACTTATGCTACAGAAGTTATTCCTTGTTTATCTGAAATCCAAATTCAGCTGGGTGTCCTGTATTTTATCTGGCCACCCTAACTAAAGGGCAGGTAGCAAGGAGGGAAAGAAGCTGAACTGAGACCCCTCCCCTACCCTGCCCATGGCAAAGAGGTAACTTTCTTGAGAGCTCGGCTAGTAAGTGCTGGATGTGGGATCCAAACCGGTCTCCCTGGTCTAATATCACAGCCACCATTTACTGCCATCAGCCACTGTCATTACTGCACCCACAAGCAGGGCAGGTGGGGATCGCAAAGCCACTGCCATTTACAAGGTGAGGAAGCTGAGGATTAGAGGTGAAGGTACTGCTTAAGGTGACACAGGTGGCCATTACTGGGGCCGGGGACTTGCTCTATATCACTTTGTGTGAGTTTGTATGTGGGAGAGAGAAAACCCACACATGCCGCAGAGGGCATCTCAGACAGCCTGACGGGGAAGGCCTGGGGAGGTTCCTGGCTGACCTCAGCGCCCTTTCTCCCCATCCAGGACTCCCTGGGGGGGAACAGCCGCACTGTGATGATTGCTCACATCAGTCCAGCGAGCAGCGCCTTCGAGGAGTCCCGGAACACCCTGACCTATGCTGGCCGGGCCAAGAACATTAAGACCAGGGTGAGGGCCCCTGGTCTGTCCCCCAGACCACACCTTCCTGAATCAGTATTCAGGCTATTGGGCCGATCTCTGCCCCCACCCCACCCCATACTCTCTGGCACCAGCCACTGCTGCACTGGCCTCACTCCTCAGCCCAATGTGACCTATGTCCTCCCTGTACCTGCTTGTCTGCCCAGAAGCCCATAGCTCCCTAGGGTCTTGTCTTCTGTTGCAGGTCTGTGTCCCCCCTTCACCTCTGTCCTCTCCTTCTTCCCTTCTTCAGATGCTCCTTCAGACCTTTGGGTTGTCAAAGCATCTCACTCTGATAGTCTTCTTAAGAGGCAACCTTGGCTGCGCACTCACTCGGAGCCTTTCAATTATCTCATTTGTTATCTCTTTATATCTCATTTGATCCTCCAAACCAGGCAGGTGTTATCACTGCCCCCATGGTACAGTTTAGGACAATGAGGCTAAAGGAGGTTGAGTGACTCCCCATCTGGCCAGTGCTGAGATGGGCCTGGGTCTGCTTGGTTTCCAAGTCCTTACCTCTCTATAAACATGTTGGAACCCTGCCATTTACTCAGAATCTGTCTCAACCTGTTTGCATGCAGAGGGCTGGAAATGGACAAGGGTAAGGTAGCATGCACTGAACACTCTTCCAACATTTCAAATTTTCAGCCTGTGTCCTGATGCTTTAAGTTTTATTCCTACACTCAAGGAGCTTAATGGGAAAGAGGAGACATATTTTTGACATAGTTCATTGATAGTTCAGAATATTGTCAATAGCAGGTGCTGAGACAGGTCAGGGAATGGGATGGTAGGCTAGGCTGGTGGGATCCACTGGAGTTCTTTGGGGACAGTAAGGAGGACTTGAAGGATAGGACGACATTCCAGAAGGGTGGGAGCAGGAAAAGAGAAGCTCTAAAGCCGTGGGTCGCGACCCCTTTGTAACAATGAAAATACATCCTGCCTATCAGATATTTACATTATGATTCATAACAGTAGCAAAATTATAGTTATGGAGTAGCAACGAAAATAATTTTATGGTTGGGGGTCATCACAACATGAGGAACTGTATTAAAGGGTCATGGCATTAGGAGGCATTAGGAAGGTTGAGAACCACTGCTCTAAAGGCAGAGAGAGCATAATGTCTGGCATGGGCGTGGAGAGAGCAGGATGGTCCCCAGCAGAGCAGATATGTGGGAGCAATAAGTCAAAAGAAAATTGAAGCGGTAGTGGAGGCCCTTCTCCTCCAAGTGAAGGAATTAGGCAGTAGGGAGCCACTGATGGTTGCTAAGCAGGAGAAGCAGCATTTTAAGAGTGTGTATCTAGCAGCAACATGGAGGTGTGATAGGAGGCTGTGGAGTTGGAGGCCAGGAGGCCACTACTGTCATCCAGAAAGGCGGGGGAAGAATGAAAGGCCAGCCTCAGTTGGTATAAGGAAGAAGACTGGGTGCCTGGGGTGTCCATCCCCCCATGGCCCATCCCACGTTCCCACAGGTGAAGCAGAACCTGCTCAACGTCTCCTACCACATTGCCCAGTACACCAGCATCATCTCTGACCTGCGGGGCGAGATCCAGCGGCTCAAGTGCAAGATCGAGGAACAGGCTGGGCGGGGCCAGGCCCGGGGTCGGCTGGCACGGGGAGACATACGCCACATCCAAGGTGTGCAGCCCATCTCCGACAGCCCACTGCCTCTCATGTTCCTCTGGGCTCAAACTGTGCTGGATTCAGATCCAAACTTAGGCTTTTTCTGGCTGAGTGGCCTTGGGCTAGGCATGCACCTTCTCTGAGCCTTCAACTGTGAAAAGGGATAGTGATCTCTGGTTGGGAAACCTGCCATGAAGAGTAGTGGGCTCAGATTGTGAGAGGCAAGTGGGTCACTCTGGGTGCTGCACAGAGGGCCAAGAGGCCTTGCTATCACCACCAAGAGCTTCTGTTCCCTTGGAGACTTTTGTGTGAAGGGATCATGGCGAAACCTGCCCTTTTCCCTTGGTTAAGGTTCACTGAAAGATCAGCTCACAATTGTGGTAGATTAATAAGAGAAATGTTTATTTCCAAATACCATGCACACGGGTGGGGGGGATCACAAGAATGATTGCCTGAAGTCTCAGTGATGGTCAGAGACTTTTATAGGTGTCTTTTGGAAGGGAGGGGGGAGAGTATGGAAAGTATACAAGCAGCAAATGGTTGCTAGGCGGATGTGTGTAGATGGGTGGAAACAGACTGATCTGTAGATTAACCTGAGACAGATCTAGTGCTTCAAATGACCCTGAGGCCAGGTCTATTATCTTGTAATAGAAAGTCTGCTTATCATGTAATAAGCAGCCCCTAATGATTCTCAGTCAGGTTCCTTAGGTTTTATGTAGATAGAGGAAAGGCCTCTTTCAATGCTCCCTGATTATGAATGGCCTTTAATCCAAAATAGTCTTTATATCAAGGAATCATATATTGGGGCAAATTTCCTTAGCTCCTTCACATGTTTGCTGTGATAGTTTCCCAATAGATGGCAGGAAAGTTTCCAAGTTGGCACAAAGGTGCTGGAAGGGCTAGCCGAGGCCCAGTTCACACAGAGGAGCTGGGAGTCACCTTTGGGCAGTGGCCTAAACACCCGATGTGAGCGTGGATTATGGGAGGAGACAGTCAGCTAGGACATCTTCTTGGAGGAAGTGGCTGGACAGGAAATGGGAGCAGAAAGTGGCAGGAAAGAGAGGAGAGTGGCCTGAACCTGCCCCCCCCCACTGACTCTCCCACATTCACGCCCTGGGTAGCCGAGGTCCAACTGCACAGTGGGCAGGGTGAACAGGCCGACATGGGACAGCTTCGGGAGCAGCTCATCAACGCGTTCCAGGAGCAGATGGACGTGCGGAAGCGCCTGCTGGAGCTGGAGAACCATGCCATGGAGGTCCAGATCGACACCTCCCGCCATCTGCTCACCATTGCTGGGTAAGCATCCCCTGCTTGAGGACCCTCTAGTTCCCACCCTGGTCCCAGGAGAGAGAAGCAGAGGTTGTGAACCCTGTCCCCTGCCCTCCTGGCCTGAATCACATGTTTTTCTGGGTGGGGCTGCGGCAGCTGGGAGCATGAAAAGTCACGCCGGGCCCTCAAATGGCGGGAGGAGCAGCGGAAGGAATCCTACACCAAGGATGACAGCGAGAAGGACTCTGACACAGGCGAGGATCAACCAGATGTCCTGGAGCCGCCAGAGGTGGCCGCAGCCCGGGAGAGCATTGCAGCCCTGGTGGGCGAGCAGAAGAACCTTCGTAAGCAGAAGGTGTGTGGGATTTGGGGGGCAGGGACAGTGGGTTTGAGAGGTGGGGCAGAGGGACTAGGGGCTAGGGGAGCAGTGGTATCTGGGTGCTCTAGCCACAAATCCTGTGTGACCTCTCTGTGCCTCACATTTCCCATCTGTAAAATGGGAGCAGTCAAGGTGCAGCCTTCCTGGGTTTGTTGGGTGTGTCCTTGGCACATACCAAGAATTCAGGGAACGGCAGTGTTGTGATTTGAGTTTTTTCAGATGACAAATCTCTGCCTTCTGTTCTTGGGCATATCCAAAACTTCAGAGTATGGTGAGCCTTGAGGGCTCGGATAGGCTGGGGTTGAGCAGTTGTCCAGAGGGCTGGTTCCAGGAGCAGGTTGTGGTCAGCCAGTGAGACAGTGGGCACAGAAGGGCCAACTTGGAGCAGCCCGTGGTTGCACAGCCCAAGATGGATCTTAGAGGTTTGGCCTGGCTTAGAGCTCCCAGCTGGATCGATGCTGAGTCCAGGGGCCAGAGAGGCGAGGACTGGGGCCCTTCACCAGGGCCTGGTGGTCACCCGGTGCCCCCTGCAGCTGGCACTGGAGCAGCGCTGCCGGGAGCTGCGCATGCGGGGCCGGCGCCTGGAGGAGACGCTGCCTCGGCGTGTCGGCTCTGAGGAGCAGCGCGAGGTGCTCAGCCTGCTGTGCCGCGTGCACGAGCTCGAGGTGGAGAACACCGAGATGCAGTCACACGCGCTGCTCCGCAACGGCGCGCTCCGCCACCGCCGCGAGGCGGTGCGCCGCCTGGAACAGCATCGCAGCCTCTGCGACGAGATCATCCAGGGCCAGCGGCAGGTCATCGACGGTAGGGCCCGCGCCCCACGCGTCCGAGCCACCTGCGGAGGGCCCCGGGCACGCGCTGAGCCCTACCCCTCCCCTGGCAGACTACAACCTGGCGGTCCCGCAACATCTGGAGGAGCTTTACGAAGCGTACCTGCGGGAGCTGGAGGAGGGCAGCCTGGAGCGGGCCACCATCATGGACCGTGTAGCCTCCAGGGCCCTGCAGGTGGGCACCTGGGCCTGGGCACTTGTGCCAAGGGAGGGACCAGTGCCCAAGACAATGGCAGCACCCCAGGGAGGGGATTTCCTTCCCTTCTTACCTCCCCCAAAGCCTTGCCATGCCTGAGTGAGATCACCATCCTGGGCATTCCTCTCTGGCACTTGTCCCCACATAGGGTCCGAGAACCGGGGTTGGTCAAATGGCTCCAGATACCCTCCCAGGAGACCAGGCCATCAGGCAATGCCACTAGCAGCCCACAGCTTACCCTTGGGGACACAAGCCCACTGTCCTTCTGGGACCTCCAGCCCCTGTTACGGGTCTGTCCCTCCGTCCCTGTGCTGTTACCTGGTCCAGGACTAGTTCTGACTGTCTCCCCCATCCCCCCACCCCCAGGACAGCTCTTTGCCCAAAATTACCGTGGGAGGAGCCACACTGACCCCAGATTCTGACCCGGAGAGTGTGAAGATGCTGAGCTCTGACACTCAGCACGTCCAGAGCAGCGCCCTCCCCACCCTCAGCACAGAGAGGTGAGACCAGTGACCACCTGCTCCAGCCCCCATGCTGTGCTCTGTCCTAGGGAGGCCAACCCAGATCAGGCCTAAATGGGGAAGAGAGAGCCAGAATGAAAGGGAGGAGATGACATCGTCTGGAGCCAGGACTCCTGGGTTCTCTCTTCCTTCACACCACCAGCTTCTCCCTTGGGGTTGGGGGTGGGACTTCAGTGAGACCAGCCTGGCCAACAGCCACCCATCCTCCTCTGCCAGCCTCAGTGAAGTCCACCGTGTGTTCAAGGCCAGTCCCAGAGCCTGGCAGATGAAGAGCTCCTCTGTGCCCACCCCACCTTCCATCCAGATTGGCAGCCTGGTGAGCCAGGAGGTGAGCTCAGAGCACCCACTAGCCCTGAGAGTTCCCCTGCTGGGGGTGGGGGCACAGGGGTGGACACACAGCCATCAGAATGGAGCCTTTCCTAAATGGCTGCCACCCCTGAGGCCCCACTGACTCTGCTGAGTGTGGCATGGGATCCCCACTAAGTTCAAGGGCAGGGGCTCCCTCCTCCCAACCTCTTCACCCCGCAGGTCCCCACTCAGGACAGCCTAGGCAGCCGGATCAACTCTTCCCCCGACAGTAGCGAGAATCTGTCGGAGATCCCCTTATCCCACAAAGGTGTGTGTGACCCTGCCCACCCCCTACCCCGACCTGTCCTCTCCTAAACTGCTCAGATCTCCCAGCCCCAAGGCCCTCGTGCCCTCTGCACTGCCAAGTGCACCTATGCATTGGGTGCTGCCTATTCTACAGAGGCCCTAGTGTCCCCAGAGGATTAGCCACTTGCTCAAGGACACACGGAGAGCTGTGAACACAATCAGAAATTGGGAGAACACAAGGCACTTAGAATCATGCCCTCGAATTGTAATAGTAGATGCCAACTGAATTCCTACCTCCTGGATGCTGCAGGTTAAGTCTATTATCTCCATTAACTCTTGAAATAGCCCTATGGGGTTGGTTTTGCCATCTCTTGTTTACAGATGGAAGTGAGGCTCAGAAAGGTGTCCCAAGTTTCTTACATGGCAAGACTGGAGGTGCTGGCATTGAAACCCAAGCAGTCTGCCTCCTTCCCATTTCTGCTATGGCAGAGGAGGTTGCTGGGAGGAGGCTTTGATCCAGGATTGGGTGCCCTCTGTGTTCCCCTGCAGAGAGGAAGGAGATCCTGACCAGCACCAAGTGCATCTCAGTGAAGGCTGCCCGGAGGCGCTCCCGGGCCCTGGGCACTGAAGGGCGCCACCTGCTGGCGGCCGCGACAGAGCGCAGCAGCCTGTCCCTGCAGTCTCTGAGTGAAGCTGATGACGTGCAGCCACCCGGCCAGTTGGCCTGCAAACGGCCGCCCAGCCCGACGTTGCAGCACGCTGCCAGCGAGGACAACCTCTCCAGCAGCACTGGCGAGGCCCTGCCCTTGGCAGTGGAGCATCGAGGTGACGGCCCAGGGTCCTGGCTGCATGGCCAGAAGAAAAATCCAAGCAAGAAAAGGGAGGAGTCCCTGGAAGCCAAGAGGAGGAAACGGAGGTCCCGGTCCTTCGAGGTCACAGGGCAAGGGGTGAGGCGAGGAGCCAGAGGTGGGGTATCTGGGCTTCTTTGGATGGGGGATAAGGCTGGATTCCTCCTGGAGCCCCTGGGCACCTTCAGCCTGCACCACAAAGCCTCTGTCCTCAGGCTGGCGTTGTTGCGGGGACAGATCCTGGTAGCAGATCTCTGCCTTACCTCACTGTTCAACCAACACAGCTCTCCTGCCCCAAGACACACCTCCTGGGGACCACAGGACACTCCCGTCCTGTGGACCACAGGATGCGCCCGTCACCTGGAACTCGGCATCCAGGAAAGGTCACGCTGCCTTTGGCCAAGGTCAAACTCCCTCCAAGTCAGAACACAGGTCAGTACCAACAAGGGAGGGCTGCCCCTTGCTATGGGACTTGGGGTTGCTATGGGCATCTTGGGGTTGAGCCTCCAGGAAGTTTGAGGCCACTGGGTGATTAGAGATGATGGAGAAGCATTCCTAAATCAGTAATCCTGGCCCTGCCCCTGTTGCAGGCCCTGGGGACACCTCACCCCTTGCTGTTCACCCTAACCCAGCTGGAATTTCCCGACGGGCTACTCGTGGGCCCCGCTTGCCCCACGGCACAAGCACCCATGGCAAAGATGGACGCTTCCGGCATAAATGAGGGGCTTTGCCTGGGACTGGCTCTCTTGCTGCCCAAGACTAAATGGGGTGTAGCAGGGAATGGGACATGGAGGCTGGGCAGATGGGGATGACCTGGGAGTGGGAGCTCAGGGTCTCAAAAGGCCAGGGCTCCTGCGATCCAGGAATTGCAGGGGTGTCTTCCCAACCCATCCAAAATTTCAGTGCCACCTGGGAAGGGAGGTGAAGCCAGGGAGATGCCTCCAGAATGGCTGGGCTCCTTGGCCTCCCAGCTCTGGACAGAATGCTGTTGCCAAAACCCTGCACAGACCTGTGGCCAGTCTTGGCCTTGGAATTCTGGGAGAGGAGCTGTTCTTGAGATGAGGCCACTGGCCCACCTCTACAGCAAGGGCATCCTGGATGGTTGGGGAGGGGCCAACAGGCATTTCTAATATTATGGTTAGGGGTGGGGGAGGGAATCTGGATCCGATTTTGTTACTTGGTAGTGGCTTTTCCCCTCTTGTTTTTAACAGTAAAATCCCATTTGGGTCTTGATGGTTCTGTTGGAAACTAGACCTTGTCTGGAATGTGGAGTGGCCATGACTGATTAAGATTCCACCGACTCCTTTCCCTTCCATGCCTGCTCCCCCCACAGACCATCTCCCCTTGGCTAGCTGTATAGCACCAGCCTTCAGACCCCTGGGGAAAGGGTTTTTCTAGACCTTGAGTCCATGCCCCCATCCCACCATCCTTCACACCTCCCCAGACCCCCTCCTAGGGAGCAAATGGGGAGTTAGGGTGGCCCAGAGTACAGAGAACCTCACAGTCCAGATAAGGTGGTTACCCACTGGAGGTCGGGAATCAGAAATTGCCCAGTCAGGTCCCTCAGTTTCAAGGAGAGAAATTTCCTGCAAGGGATACTGGGGTGCCCTGGGCTTCTTAGGCTGGCCAGGTCTCTGGCCATTCGGGTATTCTTTTTTTTTTTTTTTTGAGATGGAGCCTCAAGCTATCCCCCTGGGTAGAGTGCCATGGCATCACGCTCACAGCAACCTCCAACTCCTGGGCTCAAGCGAGTCTCCTGTCTCAGCCTCCCAAGTAGCTGGGACTACAGGTGCCCGCCACAACGCCTGGCCATTTTTTGGTTGCAGCCATCATTGTTGTTTGGCGGGCCCGGGCTGGGGATTCGAACCCGACACCTTGGGTGTATGTGGCTGGCGCCTTAGCCGCATGAGCCACAGGCGCCAAGCCCATTCGGGTATTCTTACCTGTCCTGTGCTGCGACTAGGTGGGACTCTCAAGAAAAAGCTCAATGAAGGGCACTGGGACCGCAGGCTTGTGGGACTCTGGGCACTTTACACCCAGGGACTGGTAGTTCAAGCATCCCCTCACCTCTGTAAGCATCGGTTTATTCTAGACCAAGAACATAGTGTTCCATGTAAGGGCAGCTGAGAAACAAGGCATCTGGTTTACTACCCATCTCCGGATTCCACCCAGCCCCAAGGTTGTCAGTGTCTGGCCACTCCCTGAGGGCTGAGCTTGTAGCCACCTGCGCCTTGCCTTCCCGGACCCCTGGGACTTTCCAGGCCTCTATTTCCCAATCCAGGGCTACTTGGGGGTCCGGATGAGAGTGTGGTAGACCGGCTTGATGATGAGGTGCAGGTGCAGGGCGTTCTCCACCAGGTACTCCGAGTTGCGCCGCTGCAGGTCGGCGTGCACCAGGAAGTCGCCAGCCTCTTCGCTGCTCTGGTGGAAGCTGTAGGCGTGGCGGACGAGCAGGCGGCCCTGCTGGCGCGCCCCCACAAGCACCGTCTTCTGGAAGCTCACGCCTGCCGCGTCGCCGCCGCTGCTGGCCGGTGTAACCACCAGCCGCGGCCGGCCGTCTTCAGGGCGCGCGGCGGGCAGCGCGGTGCCCGCAGCGTCCGCATAGACGGGTCGCAGGCTGACAGGCAGCCAGCGCGGTGAGAAGAGCACGTTCCACGTGACCCGGCGGCCCGCATCGTGGCCGCTCGGGCCCAGCTGCGTCTGGAAGCTGGTGCTGCGGTCGTCGCGGGCTGGGTTATTGATGACCCACGGGGCGCCCCAGGCAGGCGCGAGGTAGTTGCGGGGCAGGAAGGCGCTGCCGTTGACGTCGAAGAACTTGGCGTAGTGCAGCGGCGAGGCGGCGTGGAACTGGTAGGCCTGCAGCAGCAGATCGGCCACCGCCTGGCCGTAGCGCGCCAGGGCGTCCGAGCGCGCCTGCAGCTGAAACAGCTGGGCCGGCGGGATCATTGGGTAGCGAATGGCGCGCAGGGCGCGCTCGGCCACGGCGAGGGGCGGCCGCGCGCGGCCCAGCCAGGCTTCCAGCGCGTGGAACAGCTCCAGCTCGTCCTGCAGCACCAGGTCCGAGCGCTGCAGCAGCTGCGCTAGCAGCTCGGGGCTCACGGCGCCCCACTCAGCGCTGGCCGCCACAGCTGACAGGTTCCAGGCCAGGAACTGTAAGCAGCTCTCTCGCAGGACCTCGTCCCCGGTGCTCACAGCGTAGTGATACCAGCCCACAGCCGGGCCCGCGCCGCCCGCCAGGTGCGCGCGCATGTAGTCGGCCACTCCGCGCTGCAGGGAGGCCACGCCATACTTGGTGGCCAGCCTGTGTAGGGGGATGGCCTGAGCCAGCAGCACGGTCAGCTCGCCACAGTACAGGTACCTGAGGAGAGGTGATGCTGAGTCAGAGCCGGGTCCCGCGGTTCCCACACAGAGCTGCTTTTTCTGAGTCCACAGAGGACCTGGCCTCCCAGCTTTGGGATCAGAATGGATTCTGAGGCTTCCTGTCTTTTCCTTACGAGAGCTCACTCAGGCCATTCCTACTTCACAGCCCCTTCCTTCCCTTGCTGGAGGGAATGGCGAGCCTCTAGACAGTGCACAATGCTAGGCTGGAGCAAAACAGAGGTGGCTTCTACCGCTGTGAGGTTTCCTGTCTCGGGTTTCCTGTCTCGTTCAGTTCCGGGTCCTACCACCTGTTTGCCACAATTCTGGACAAGTATTTTATCTTCCATGAACCTTGGGCTAACCATCTAGGAAATGGGGAGTAGCACCCATCCCTCAGGGTTACTGTGACAATCAAGAACACTGAAGTAGATGGTCACCAGTTTCTCTCCTCCCACCCCTCCCCTTTTTGTTCTGCAGCTCACCTTTCTCCCTGCGTCTGTCTCCTCTGCTCCGCTGGTCATCACTGGCTGTCTCTTGCTGTCATCTCATCTGCCTCTGTGCCCCTGCTCACCCCACCAACACACAGCACCCCACTTGGCTCTGTGGGAGTGCCCTAACATCCACAACTCCCCTCTCTATTTCATATTTGCCTCTGGGAATAAAAGATTGAATTTCCTAGGCTCTGTAGGTGTGGCCACGTGCCTAACTTGTAGTCAATGAGATGTCACTGGAGCACGGTAGAGGATTTAGGGGAAGGCTGGTTAAATGCAACTGACTCACGGTAACAGGAAGACCCTTTCTGCCCATCTGTTTTATTCTCCTTGTTGTCTGGACCTTAGAAGTGATGTCTGGAATTTTACAACTGTCTTATCTAAGGTATTAGAACAGGGTTAGTTTCTTAGACTATAGTGTGAATGGTGCCCTGTGCAGCATACTGGCAGGAAGCAGGAAGGTGGAGGAGAGAGCTGGCTAACTTCATCAGCTCCCTAGCCTGTGGTCCCAAACCTGGCTGGACAGCAAAACCACATCGAAGCTTTACAATAGAAAATGATGGCTGGTCCCCATCCTACACTTGAAACTGATGATCAAGGGTGGGACCCAGGAATCTGTAGCTCTCCTGACCAGGTTTGGAAACAGCTCTGAGAGGGTTAACAGAGCTGAGGAGTGACATCAAAACTACACAGAGCACACAGGGAAAGGCAAGAAGCTGCGCCACAATGCACAAGAGGGAAGTGGGAAAAGAGATGCAGGAGGCAATGCCACCCCAGTGACATCTGGGGATGGATGCAATGACCTTTAAGGGCCTTGCTTCCACAACCCTGTGGGTGAAGGAGCCAGGCCATGAAGAAGGGATTAAAGCCTCCCCCAGTCCTCCTCCTCCCCACCTGATGAACTTGTCGAAGACAGCGGCACAGTCCCGGGGCTCCTGCAGGACCACTTCACTCTGGTTACTCAGCAGGTCCCTGAACAGCTCGCTGTGCAGCCCCAGCAACAGGCGGTGGGCGTGGAAGACCCGCACCTCATCAGTGCCTGCAGCCTGCACCCGCAGCACCACATCACTGGCATTGCCGCGACGCAGCAGCTCCTGCAGGCGTTGGAGCAGCACCTGGGAGTGGTTGATGGAGGTGCCTGCGGCCTCACCACTGACATCAGCTCTTTGGGCTGCAGTGGGAAGGAACAGAGCACAGCCTCAGTCTAGGGGTGCAGAGGGATCAGCTGGAGACACATGCGCATGGGTGTGAGCAGAGGGTGCCCATGAGCACTACAGACCCTAAAAGGATGCTCTTAGAAGGGGTAGATTTCACGCAGGGAGAGTTCATGAAACAGGGTTGGGACAACATTCCCATAACCGGTCTCCACCATGCCAGAACCTCAGGAAAGGCTTAAGGAAATTCTTGGTCCCTGCCCCCTCAGCTCCTGAAGAATTGTCCACCTGACCCCTCAGAGTTGCCACAAGTGGTGCCTTCACTAGCAGATATTCACCTCCTATGTGCCAGTCGTTCTTGAACTTGGAATATGGCAGTGGGCAAAATAATCCTAGTTCTTGGCTCGGCGCCTGTGGCTCAAGTGGCTAAGGTGCCAGCCACATACACCTAAGGTGGCAGATTCGAATCCAGCCCAGGCCCGCCAAACAACGATGGCT